GCCTTCTCAAGAACCCTGAGCCGTGACTGAAAGCGAAATATCCCCTGGCCCCTCTGCGGGCCACTATGCGCGAAGTTGCTGCTCCCTGCGCCAGTTGCGTTGCAGTTTCGAGTATCCAATGCTACAGTCCTGCTTTCTGCTTCCTACTATAAATTGTGGAAGTCCGCGCGCAGGGGGCCCAAACCCCCAAATTCATCGCGCCCAGATCGCGTGTTCTGAATTCCCAGGGGGGCGTGTAATATATGAATAAAAATACATGCGATTCGCGCCCCCGAGGCCATGATCCATTGTACAGTATCCAATGTTCGCGTCCCTGAGGCCACAAGTCCTTGTTGATTGTACGTCTCTTGCGCCCCTGAGGAAGCACACCCGCGCGAAGAACCCAATATTAGGGCGACGAGATCTATGCATATCCACTGCTCCTGGCCAGGCCAATCCTGGGCCCAGGAGCGGTGTATACGCCCTCCTGGCCTGGCCAGGGAGGCATATACACAGCTCCTGGGCCCAGGATGGGCCTGGCCAGGAGCAGTGGATATGTATAGATCTCGTCGCCCTAATACTCGCGTCGCGTCGGTACCTCTTCCCTCCTCTGAGGACCTCGTTTTCGGGGCAAGGCAGACGGTGCAGCTCACGACAGTGCTGCCGGCGCCGCGGCGTGAAACCAGAGACCCAGCGCACGGCCAGGAGCACGGCAGGAGCGCCGACCTCTGCTGGGCGCGCTCGGGGGGGGGCGCGCCCCCGCCGGGGCTGGCGAGAGCGGGGCTGCCGAGCCAAGGGGGGGGAGGGGAGCCCGGAGATCCGACGTCGTGCCTTCTTCAGCGCGGGGTCCCCGGAAGCCTCGACCCGCTCCCCGGGGGCGTCGGCTTCCCTGCCCGAGTCGTCGTTGGACCCTCCCGGGGCCCGGGGAAGGCCGCCAGAGGCCGAAAGTTGCGGAAAACCTCCGTCCGATGTTTGGTTCCGTGCGGTGGCTCTCCGGGAGGGGCTCGCGAACTTACCAGCCTCGAACGTATCCCTATCCCTAAGATGGACACGCCAAAAGGCGATGACAATCTTAGGGATCCGCCCTCAAAAAATAAGGGAGTCCCTAAGATTGGCATCGTGATGAGGAGGTGCCCAGCATAGGGATAGGGATATATGTACCAGGCTGGTAACGAACTGCCCGCGTGCAGCTGGCTCGCCCCGCCCCCCCCCCCGGCGCCACGGAGCGGAGAGAGCGCGCCGAGGAGGCCGCCGTGAGCGGCGGGGCCGCGGCGGGGCGGAGGCCCGCGGCACGGTCAGCAGCTTCCGCAAGACCCGCCCCCGAGCCCCTCTGCAGGGGCCGAGGGGCTGACCGCGTGTCCCAGACATCGATCTGTACCCAGACCCCCCCGAGGTATGAACAAATCACGACGGGAGGTTTTTCATTTTTTTTGGCCTCTGGGGGCCCTTACTGGCCCTCGGGACCGTCAAAAAACGACTCAGGACAAAAAACCGGTCCCAGGGAATGGGTCGAGACCTCGGGGGGTCGACGTCATGAAAAAATCGTGGCGTCGGGGGTCTGGGTATACACCCCCTCACCGTCACCCCTTGACAGGGGGAAACATGCGAACCCTACCCCTACCCCCCACACGATTCCCGGGGGGGAGGGTGGGGCGCCTCTCGCTCGGGAGCTCCCGAGCGAAGCGAACCCCACCCTCCCCCAACCAGAAAGCGTGGGGGGGCAGGGGCGGGGCTCGCACGTGGCCCCGCCCCCTGGACTCGGGGGGCGGGCGCGGGAGGGGGGGGGGGGGCGGCGGAGGCCAGGCCTCCTCCCCGGAAGGCGGCGGGGCTCCTCGGGAGAGAGCCCTCCGGCCCTCGGAGGAGTGCGCCGCGCCCCTCGCGAGGGGAGGGCCTCGGGCAGCTGCTCGGCGAGCCCGAGGCCCTCCGAGCCTTCTGCGAGCGCCTCCTCGCCTTCTGAGGCCTTCCGAGGCCTTCGGAGGCCTTCCGAGGCCTTCCGAGGCCATCCGAAGCCTTCTGAGGCCTTCCGAGCCTTCTCGCTTCCCCTCCTCGCTCGCCGCCGATTGACACAGTAGAGTGGATAATCCCTGGCCGAGACACCGTTGGTCGGCGGTGGGGGGCGGCAGCGCCGAACTTGCTCATCCCCAGGGCCAAGTTCTCCTTTCCCGTCCCCACGTCTCCACCACGGGCTGGGATGTCTTGCCGTCTTGGAGCCGCGCTGTGTTCTTTTATGATGAGACTTGCCAGGGAAATCGTCATTATCCCACCCAGAAACCCGAACTCTCTTATCTCTAGGGCGTTCTTATCAGGGGTACTTGGTCAGACATTCGACAATATGTTCTTTCCAATGCGCGGTCACCTGAAGTCCCTGCCCCTTCCCCGGGGAGAGTTTGTCACTCCGGATCCGTTTTTCTAGCCCCGGGGCCTGATGACGGGCTTCGGAGGCCGAGATCTGGGTCAAAAATCTGGTCGTCGAATCTGGATTCGCAGGAGCAGGGAAAATCGACCATCCCCTTGCTTCGCGGCGGCCCGCTCAGGACATCTCCCGTCACCAGCTTGGGGCGGCATTGTGGGCTCTCCGCGCAGGAGGTGGTGGCCAGCCCGTGGTGGTGGCGTCGCCTATCTGAAGGGAAACGACAGGGGGGCGCCGGCGAAGGGGGAGGGGAGGGGACCTGGAATCTGCGATACATCGCCATCGCCAGATCGACGATAGGCTTAGGTCGGGCATGTCCTCCTACAGGTGGATTCCGTAGGAAAAAAGACAAACATTCAAAACATATTCAGACATCGTCAAACAAATAATCAAAAAAACCATCCCCAGGAAAGTGCACAGGAAGCCTCCTGGGCACTTTCCTCAACGAACGCCTCTATTGGAATTCCACTGGCTTCGAGATCCTGGGTTCCCTTATCCAAGGCTTCCTTGTCGTCCATTACCCCCCCGAGCAACGCTGCCTCTGCTTCCCCCCTCCCTCCGCACTTCGCCTGCCCCGACCGCGGCGGCGACGAGCGCGAGCGGCCCGCGATGGGGTGGCACCTGCTCGACGTCGCCGGCGGTCGGCGGGGGGGGGGGGTGCGACCGAGAGGCCGCGTCGGCGACGCTGCGGCCCCAGATCCAGCCGCAGCCCACGCGCTTCCCCAAAACGCCGGCCACAGCGCCCCCCATTGGGCAGAGGTGGGCCGCCGCGTCGCCCCAACGCCGAAGCACATGAGCACGATGCTCTCGCGCGTTTTTGGCGCCCCCCGAGGCCTCCCGGGACCACCTCGCGTGGGGGCTCCTGCGGCCACAAATGTGCTCCGCCCCCAGCGTTTGAGCCCAGGCCTGCTTCTGGCCGAGGGCCTCGACTGGAGGAGCCCGTGCGAGCCCCGGTCACGACCGCAAAATCCACGGAGTATAAAACAGGACCAGGGCGAGGACAAGACCGGGGGAGGATGGCCCGGGAGTCCTGAGGCCTGGCGGCTCTGGAGGCTGTCTCGGGCGCCGCGGCCCTCGACTAAGAGCGCTCCGGAACGCTCCGAGAGCGGTCCGGACCGCCGGAGCTGACGCGAGCATTCTGCTCGGGCGGTGCCAGAAGTGAGGGGCAACGATAGGGGGGGATAGGCATAGGGGGGATGCATCGACCTGGAATCGGCGATACATCGCCGATAGATCGGCGATAGGCGCCCGATAGTGAGTCCGCGCCTTCCTGGGCGGGGTGGGGCTGTCGGGCCCCTATCGGCGATCAATGGGCGATTGGGGGTCGATGCATCCCCCCCTATGCCTATCCCGCCCTATCGTTGCCCCTGAAGAAAAGCCCCTGGCCCGGGGTGCCCCCGGGATCTCCAGGGAGGCCACCAATGGCCTCCAGCGCCCCCCCCCTTCGAGGCCCCCAGGGGGCCCCGAGGGGGCTCCAGAAGGGAGCGAAGAGCTGGGGGCACCTCGAGCCAAGGGCACCCTTCGAGTAGAGGACCGACTACAGAATTGCTTTACCCCAGACTTGCTTGTGCCGTCGGGCCTACGAAAGAAAAAGCGCAAGATGCTCCTACGACAGAAAAGCGCATGTTTCGCAGATCCTAAGAAAAAAAACAATTCTGGCGCCAACCAATCCAAGTCTATAGCCAATCCCCTGCTCGCACCTTTGGCAGCCCCCGATCTGCCTCCCTCTGCTCGCCGACTGCTCGCGCTTCCAGACGGACGCCGCGCGCCCCACACGACACACACACACACACACGAGGCGGCCTCCGGCACGAGCCGCAAGGCCCGCAAGGCACTCCTGCTGCGTGTGGTCCCACGTCGAGCTTTATTTTTCTCGTGGAGCACGGGAGAGAGCCCTCGTAATCAGCAGCGACCATCGTGTTGAGACTGCTCGCTCTTGTCTGCCCGCGTGCCATCCAACACGCGTGTCCCAAACACTCGACACCCACCCTCTTCGTCTTCGATCGTGCCCCTTCGGGGTACATCTTCTTCACCCGCCACGCACATCTGGTGCAGCCCCTAAAACCAAGGAAGAGAGGACGGACGGGAGGAAGGGACAAGGGGGGAGGGAGAACGGTGGAGCGCGATAGAAAAGCAAGAAGGGGGCTAGGACGGGCAGAACCAGACGGGCAAATCGGCCGGGTAGAGCCTGACGGGCGGGTCGGGAAGGCGAGCCCAGGCGGCCACGTCGAGCAGGCAGGTTGCTGAAGCGTGCGTCCTGCATGCATCGCGAGGAATTCTCGAGCAATTGACTGCTTCGCAAGCAAAACCATCCGGAGATCCAAAGGGAGAGCGTGATTCTTGAGTGTTGGGGGCACGGCACCGCAATAAATTGCAAGGAGATGCCACGCGAGAGCGCGACTTCTGCATATTGACGAGGATGTCCCGCGCGAGAGCGCGATGTTGAAATACATTGGGAGGGAATCTAAGTCGGGAACAGCTGTTGTTATAAACCGGGGGGCCAACATCACAATTTGGTGACCCCAGATTTTTCCTGATATAAAGCAGGGCGCGAGTCCTGGGAGGAGCACGTTAATTGAAAAGCTAACAGTGGCTATCGAAGAGGGATCAACAACACTGTTTCTTTACTCATGCATCTCCAGTCTCATGAAAGCATTAGGCCGACGTGCTGAAACAAGACTGTTTCAGCCAGACCTCAAAATGTTCCTACAACACTTTCTGGTGGGCCTACAGGCAACGCCACGCCACCGCTTGATCCCCACTGGCGTGGCCCTCACCCCGCTGGCTGGCTCGCACCCGGGGACTTGTGCTGCCCAGCTCGGGTCTCGAGGGGCCTGCCCCCGCGCCCGAGGGCATCGGCTGGTGGGTCTGACATTCCCTGGCTCACTTGGGACACAGAAGCAAAAAGGCGTACGCGCCGAAGTACGTGCATGAATAAGTAACCCGCGAGCGGGCCATTCAATGCAAGGGAAATGCGAGCGGATCATTCTACCTTGCGTCGTCGTGACTGCCATCCTCCACCAAACTTCCTACTCGGGCAATCGCCCTCCATGTTCTCCCCCTCTCCTACTGATCTGCTGCCTCCTCCTCATTATCTCCGCTCTTCTCCGTGAGCCATAACTTAATGTTGGCAGTGTCGCAGTCATGCGGGAATCCTTTCGGGCCTTTTCCGCTCCCTCTGTGCTCAACGCGGAATTATCGCATGATGTATGCGCAGCCTGTGTTGCACAAGCGATGCTGTGTAAGCGACCCATCTCCGGCGTCAAGGAGCTTTCTGCGCCCTCTTGTGGCTCAATCGGGGGGCTGCCGGAGGCCCTCCCGGGTCGCACCTGGAGCCAGAAGGGAGCCCCAAGGGGGCCCAGGAGGACCTCGAGAGGGCCCGATCATACCATGGGCTCTTGGCTTGGCATCGCTGGCGGAGCTCTGGGACCCCCTCCCGGGAAGTCTCTTTGGGGCCCGTCTCGACGACCTCTCGGGGGGCTGCCTGCGGCCCTCTCGGGCAATATTTTTGGGGCCGGCGGAGGGCCGCCCGAAGGCCCCCGAAGCGGCTCCCGACGATCTCATCTCCTCCGCGTCCTCGTCCTCGTCCTCGTCCTCATCTTCCTCCTCCCCCTCCTCCTCCTCCTCCTTCTCCTCCTCCTTCTCCTCCCTCCTCCTGCTCCTCCTGCTGCTCCTCCTCCTCCTCCTCCGCATCCTCCGCCTCCTCCGCCGCCGCCGCCTCCTCCTCCTCCTCCTCATCCTCCGCCTCCTCTTGATATCGTTGTATACCTTTTAAGCTAATATCAAGAACCTTTTTGAACAATCATTGGGGATCTCTCGGGGTTCTCAGGGGGCCCTCCTGCGCCGTGTCTGGGGCCAGAAGAAAACCCCAAGCAGGCCCGGGAGGGCCCAACGCGGCCCCCATGAGGTCCCCCAGCGATGCCATGCCAGGGGATTTTGGGGCGGTGACATAGTCGGCGGCGGGTTCTTCCTGGGTCCCTTATGGGAACCTTTTCTGGGCCCCCCTCGGAACTCTTTCGGGGCTCTCCAGGGCTCCGCTGGGCCGTCTCTGGGGCGCCAGGAAGCCCCACGAGGGCCCAGAGGGCTTCGAGAGGGCCCTCGAGGCGGCCCCCAACGATACTCCAGATTTCGAAATATTTAGGGTGTCTGGACCCTCCAAGACAAGCCATTTCAGACCTCCCCCGTGGGAGAACCCTCCAAAACATCGTCCCCAGACCCCCCAGGCCCTCCAAGATAGCCTGGAAGAGACCCCCCCCGAAATGAGACCCCCCTCCCTCTATTACGAAATCTGGGGTACTCTACCGGTTTTGTGGTTGCCAGCTCCCGCTGGCTTCTCGATGCTTCTTCGAGACGGCGGCCCGCCCGCAGGCGGGGCAGCTCGCGCTGCCTCCCTCGGCCCCGGGCCCTGCACCCGTGCTGTCGGAAGCGCCCGCCCGCCGCGCGCGGCGTGCCCGGCGCCCGCGCTGGCGGCCCTTCCTATGCCAGGAGGGGAAAAACACACAGACACAATGAATCGTCCATTCCCCAGAAAATAGAAAAAATATGGGAAGTGGGGGGGAAGACAAGAACCCAGAAAATAGGGGAACATATGGGGGATTATACTATTTGTGTGTATTTAGTTGTGTGTCCTGGGGGCCCCTTCACTGTGGGAGGGGCGCGGGCCCGAGCCAGACGGTGGGAGGAACGAAAAGGGTCGAGGCGCCCCAGGCCTCCGCAAGCTTGTTCAATGCGGGATGGCGAGGAATAAAAAAAGGGGAGAGAGAGAGAGAACGATTACAAACATAGTGTTCTGCTATTTCTGCACAATTTTCCGACTGGAGGAGAACGCTTAGAAAAATAATTGTCCAATCCGCGGTCGGTTCTTTCTAATCGTCATCCCGGGCGCCGCCGCGTGAACACGACCCCCGGTCATTTATTAATCGTCACCCTCCATATAAATTATGGGGGCGAGCGGCGACGCGGAGACAGGCCTCGAACACCCGGTTGGGCAGACCTCACTGGGCGAGGCGACGCGCGCTGAGGGCGGCGAGGAAGGAATCTGCGCAGGCAGCGCGCTGCAAACAGGCAGACGAATCATCTCGAGAGTGGGCGAGGCACGAGAGGAACCACTGGGGGCTGACATCATCCTGTTGAGCGCTAGATGAGGGGCCCATCGAATTCACCAACCGCGCTTTCAATCTTTCGCAACGAGAACAGTGGCGGAGGGAGTCGAGATCTGATCCACCAGCAGACTGGCATCCGAAGAAACATCCTGCAGCGTTCGCGTCAAACCGGGCAGAGGTGCAAATAGAGCCTGCGGGCGCACGAAATAGGGCAGTGCCGATCTGCATGGGCGCCATGGAATGGACCTTCTTCAGCGCCTCATGCGCGGTCAATGTGCGCCGCCTGACGCCCCTGCAAGAAGTACTGGGCATGGCGGAGAAGAGCAGCGCGAACGGGTCCAGAACGCTGAAGGTCTCGAAAGAAGGAGTACAGCTTGGCCTGCCACTTAGGGTGGCCCTCCGATATCCCAGCGTCGAGCCCAGAATGCCACCCCCGCAATCGCCGAACGCGTCCCAAGAATGGACCCAGTTGCCAGCCCGCCTGCCACCGATGAGGAATAACTACCAAGTGGCGGCAGCCTGCGCGACAGCGCTGATGTCAACAAACTCGGTGCCAAAGCCTAAGGCGCGCAGGTTGGTGGCGGCAATACTGCATGGGATCGCATTGCGCGGGCCCGGCGTCAATAGCGCGACCCTCTCTCGAAACTGGCGGACGCGGTCGGAGTCGGGGGGGGAGTTAGAGACGAACGGGCAGCTTCGAGACGCGCGACGCGCGGCGTGCAATCGCAGACTGGGCGATGCCCAGACCGAGCTGGCGAGCCCCTGTGCGCCCTCGAGATGGGCCCAGGAGGGACAGGGCGCCAGGACCTCGGGAGCGGCCTCGGGACCAACGGGAAAGCCAAGACGCACAGCCCAGGAGACGACTTGAACCTGGCCGGATGGTGCACCGCAGCTAGCCAACGCGGTGACGGTGAGCAGACGTGTCTTGTCTGCGCCGCAACATCGGACAGCCTGGCATGTCTTGAAGCCGAGCTGCAAAATCGGCAGCGTCCGCCAACGGGGTCAAAGCCTCGAGCACGGGGCCCAAGTCCGACAGATCGCACATCAAACCGAAAAGGAAGTCGTCGGCATGCGCCAAGTCCAAATGAATCCATCGCGAGCAACGGCGCCGCAGCCAACGCGAGAGCGGGTCTACGGCGTGCGCGAGAAGAGACATCGACGCTGGGCAGGCTTGCTTCACTCCCGCGTCGACAGCGATCGCGTCGAAGCTCAGCCGCCCCGCCGCGTGGACCGCCACGCTGAAGGGGTCCATCGTCATGGAGAGCCCCGGATGTGCGGGTACATGCGCATCGTTCTTGGTACAGATGAAAGGCACGCTTGCGCAATACCTTGGAAGGCGGATGCGAAGGCTGCAGGGAACAGCGAGGCGTGGGCCTTGTCACGCAAGTGCCTGATCAGGCCCGAGGAATCAACTGCCACGACGTTCTGGATCACGCCACGGCCAGAGACGCATGATTGCTTGTCGACAAGGCTGTGTGCGTTAGCAGCTACAAGGTGGATGCAGGCGGCTGCCGGCAACTTGACATGCATGTTAATTACTCATGCTGAGCGGGCGCGCGCATGGTGCTGAACGCGCGAGAGCAGCCCCGGGCCGAGGCTCGCCTAGTGCGGATCGCAGCGCGAGCTTCCTTCCCAGCATCAGAGAGCAGATCCTTGGCGACAGATCGCTGCGCCCACGGGCCCGAAGAATGAGGGATGCTGCCGAGTGGGATCTCAAAGGCCTGACCCGAGTCAGGCAGCCCAACCATCCGCGGAGGGATGGCGGGCTGACAGAACTGGGATATGGTCACTAGGCATGGCCGACTTGAGGGCCCCGATCGCGCTGACAGAGATGGAATAGTCACGAAGGGCAGGCGGCAACGGTGCGTAGATTCGATCGATCCTGGAGGTCCTGGCGACAGCTTTACCCCTCTTGCCCCGGCGAATGTCCTGGGCCTGAAACAACTCCGCAAGATGCGGGAATACACAGGCGAACAGCCTCGATTGCCGAGGGCCTCCGGCAATCCAGCCACTGCCGTCCCCGGCAAGACTCGCGGCGCCCTCTGAAAACATAACTCAAGTCGCCCTGGAAGAGCACGCGGGCTTCAAACTCAGCTCCGCCTGGATGATCTGGAAGCAAGTCGCGCCGAAAACACTGCAGAACACCACTGAAGCGGGAGAAGTGTCGGACGCCCTCGGGAGGAGGAAGCTGCATGCGACCATGTTGCCCTGCGCCCCACGGAGTACAGATTTTCAAGCACTCGCCCCGCGACCAAAAGGCAGGTGCACGACAGGGGAAGAAACAAAAAGAGCGAGCCTTCGCAAATCATGCCGTCGCGACCCCGCCCTCGCGAGAGGAGTTCGGAAAAAAAGGCACAGCCGAAAAGTATATCATCAGTCTCTCGCCCGAGCTGTGCTATGCCACCGTCATGCCCATGCGTTTCTTGAGCTGTGATACGAAACACCGCGCGTGGTGCACAGTTTGAGATAGCGCGAGCACCGTGCAGAGGCCCGCCGCGAAGGGCACGCGCTGGCGAGGACAGCGCACCCGTGCTCCGGGTGCACACGGAGAGCTGGGAACGAGGAAGGAAAGGCAGGGAGGCGACGAGGAGGGGTATAGAGGAAAAAGAACTATGCACATACACCGATTCTGGCCAGGCCCATCCTGAGCCCAGGATCGGTGCGTACGCCCGCTGCCTTGGCCAGGAAGGTATATATTCACCGATCCTGGGTCAAGGACGGGCCCTGCCAGGATCGGTGTATGTGCACAGTTCTCTTCGCCCGAGGGCAGGGAGGTGGCACCCGTGGCGTGGTGCCGTCTGCCTCGGCGCTGCCACGGGGCGGCGAAGCTGGACGGCAGCTTCCGGCCGGACAGCTGCCGTGTGGCTTTCCGAGCTCCAGGCTCGAGACACGCGCAGCCTGGCCACAACCACGCGGCACCGCTCCGTCCTCGCAGCGCGAGAGCTCCGCTGCGGGGGCCCTGCCGTCGCTCTGACGTCCATTTCCTGTGTTTTTGTTCGGTTTCCTGCGTGGTTTTTTCGCCAAATGATCAAGGATGCTCCTCGAGGGTCCTCGCCGAAGGAAAAATGCACACGCCCGAGCGATGACAAGAACGCAGCCTGGCCACAGCCACGCGGCACCGATCCATCCTCGCAGCGCGCACGAGCTCAGCTGCGGGGGCAGGGTCGCAGGCGCGGCCCGAGGCGCAGACACAGGGCCGCCCGAGGCCCGTGCTGCCCGCCTCAGGAGCCCTTTCTGGGCGGCAGGAGCTGCGACATCTTGGCGCGCACGCTGCCCAGAAAGAGAGAGGAACAAGTGACGGGCATCGAGATCGAAATCACGACCGAAAGCGAAGAGTCAGGATGCAGAGGGTCAAGCGTGATCCAGCTTCCCCATGCCTTCATGACATGGTGCATGAACGAGCTGGCTGGCTGCTAACGGTCTCGGAAATGAGGGCAAACGCCTTGATTAGATCGAAGGCTGGAACTATGATGCCAACCTGTTCCTGAAGCGGAGCGAGCGTATTTATTATAGACTATCCCAGCATCATGAAGACCAGCGAGAAGAAGAGGGAAGGGACATCCGAGAATAACAATTTTAACAACATCGTGCTGGTGCTTCTCGTTCGTCGGCATCGGACGAGGAAGTGGCGTACTCGGCGACGTGGATGATCCAGCCGGGGAGGAAGCGGAAAGCGATGCAATGCGTTCCTGGCAATGCGACCTGGCGCTACAAGGCCAGGCGCTTGTCGTTCAGGTTCCCGTGTCCATGTGCTCGTTGGGCTCGGTCATGAACTCTACGCGCATGGCCTCCATCTTCGCATCCTGCTCGCGAAGGGCCACTTCCAATCGGTGCCTCAGCTCGCCATGGCGGGCGTGCACGTCTCTGGCCATCATATGGGCGCCGGTCCGCGAGCTGACCACAGCGCGAGGTGCTGCCTCGCACGCAGGAACAGGAGGCCAACACGACGCCCTGACTGTTCTGCAGCATCACCTTTGCTCGGCAAAGTGCGGTCGACTCCAGCTGGCTCGAGACGTCGCCATCCTGGCCGCGGAGGCCAGCACGACGCCCTGACTACTCTGCAGCATCATCTCGGCTCGGCGGAGTGACCGCACCAGCGATCGGCTCCACCTGGCTCGAGACGTCGCCATCCTTTGGGCGTGCCCATGTCGTTCGTGCAGAATCCTGGCCGTGGGGTCGGCGCGGCTCCCGGCCTCTACCGGCAGCGCGGCGTAGAGGCCACCGGACGAGGTGGGCTCCCGGCGCGCGGGTCCCCCCCACCGCGCTCCCCACGTCGCCGCGCCGGCCCCCCCCAGCGAGGGGCCGGCCGGAGGAGCGAGGTGCAGGCGGGCAGAAGGTGCAGTGCGGCCGAGGGGGAGTGGCGCTCCACTTGCCGTCGCTCGGACGTCCATTTCCCGTGCCTGGTTCGGCGTCGTGCGTGTTTTGTTTTTTTTTGCTCGATGGTCCAGGATGGTCCTCGATGGTTCTCGCCGACAAAAAATGCACACGTCCGAGCGATGCCAAGTCCACTGGGAGCTCACACAAGCAAGGAGGAACGGCCTGGGGCCTGGAGTGGTCGGGCTGACCCGCCCGTGGCTCAAGAGAGGGTCCTGCACCACCTCGGGAGCTGCGTTGCTCGAGCCAAAACGGCTTGAGCCAACATCGGGGGACGCACCGACCCGGGTCGGTGCAGACCCGGGTCAGTCAGGCCGTGCAGGATCCTGCCAGATCCTGCGGGGTCCTGCAGGGTCCTGCACCCAAACCTGGGTCAGTGCGACCCTGGCCCTGCAGGAGCCTCCAAGATCCAGCGCTCTGACTGACCCCCGTCTGTATTGACCACGGCCTCTTGAGCTCCGACAGGATGGCTACGGAACGATACACACTGCTGTTGGTATGATATCGGTGGCGGTCCTAGTCGGCCCGTCTTGAGAAGACTGTTCGGCCCCTCTTGGAACTGTGATGTGGCTGTATGGGGCTCTCTGACGGCGTCTTTAGGCTCGGGCGTTTCTTCGGCGAACGTGAAGGAATTCGTCAGCTCGCAGCTCACCGACTCCCCTGGCGGCGAATCCATGTACATAGCCAAGGGGCAACCAGGGTAAGTGCATAAATTTCTTCGGGCCTGACAGGGGGGGGGAGAAACATAACACATCGGGTATATATGTATATAGATGAACATGCTGTCACACCCTTATAGTGAGCCTCCCAGACAAGCCGAACTATGTACATGAGTGAAGCGGACGCGTGCGAAACCCGGATCCCCGCCGCACCGACCAGCACACAAGGCGCCACACAGGGGCCCGCCAAGCGAAAACCCAGCGTATCCATCCAGCACACCGAGCGCCCACGGGGCGAACCCCCACAGTACACGGTCCTCTGTCCCCCTCTCCTACGTCCACTCTCGACCCCGCTCCGTCCAGGCCCGTTTTGCCTCTGGCGTCCGACCTCCGACCCCATCCACCCTCCACACCTTTTCTTCATCATCCCCCCGCCCCACTCGTCCATCCTTCGCATATCCGCCTCCCTCCACCTACGCCGTCCTCGTTCTCCTTCTCCCGGTCCTCCTCGATGGCCCTACACTCTCTCCCTGCATTCTCATCGACACCCCTCCTCGTCGGCCTCCGCCCCGGTCTGCGCGGACCTCTGCCCAGCAGCTGTTCCACCTACTCCTGCGATTTCCGATCTTGCCTCTGTGTCCTCATCCTCCTCCACCTTCTGCTCCTCTGACTGGTTTCTCTCCTAGCCTCCGTCGCCTCCACCCCCCTGCTCCGGGTACGCGCGGGCTGGCTGGCAAGCCTATATTCAATGTGTGATGTATCGTCGCCGGCATCCCCTACCACGTGCCCCTCACCGCCAGCCGTCCGATCGTTCCGCCCAGAAGAAATCACTGCGAACAAAAAGAAGCCGAGGACAAAGCGATGGTGCTAAAGAGTGACCACATTGATTCGAACCAAACGATTACCAACACGGTCACGCCACAAAAACGCCCTGGTGGGAAAATCAGCTGGCAAAGCGCAACACCAAGACGGGGACGCTGCAAATGAGGATTCCAAACACATGTGAAGCCTTGAAGAAAACGAGCTACGATGCCACAGAAGGACGAAGAATTTGCGTGATAGCTGAAGGGGTCCTCGGACACACAAATAAATACATACAAATAACAGGATTCCCGATATTTTCAAATCTTTTCTGGGTTTTTGTCTTTCCCCCCCACTTCCCATATTTTCAAAATTTTCCGGGGGATCGACGATTGACTGTGTCTATGTGTTTTCCCCCTCCTGAATAGCGTACAATCACGAGCACAGGAGCGCACACAGTGAGGAACACCTCGCAGATGTGCAACAACTAGCGCGATAACAAAGCCAGCGACCACGAAAAGGCACGAGGGAAGCAAGACACACGGATACACTGAAGACGCACCGTCCCCAATTCGCGGTTTTCGAACGATCGTCGGGGTTCTTTGAGAGACAGGCAATCGAGCGCAAACGTGGCATTTGCGGTCTTTCAGCCCAAATCGCATTAAAGACCGAGCCAAGCGGCGAGAACTTCGACGTTACTACACGAAGCATCACCCATGCCACGCATGCTCCCTGGCGCGATTTCTCTGAATACCTGGAAATTCGTGTATGTAGACGTCCCTTTTTCCACTCCTGAATCCTCCTCGGAGGCGTGCGTCTGGCCCGATCATATAGCACAACCATATCGTAGTACATCGTTTCCCGAGCGGCACGGCGAGAAGGAGACTGCCACGGAGCTTATAGCATAAGATTTCTCGGTGCGCACGTCGCACCTGGGGGGCAAACACTGAAGGACGTTCGAGGGTGCCCTCCCCCAGGATGCACGAGAATATCCGACGGACACGAAGAACACCAGGGCACACTCCCCTAACCGACCTCGATCTCGGCCCGGTTATGTTGAGATGTCGGTGCGACGCCAGTCAATGGGGATGGGCCTCGTTTAGACGATGCTGAACATGTGTGGGCGGCGCGGCCGGGAGGGGGGAAGTGAGAAGGGGCAGGCCTTCTCAGACGGCTCGTAAGTCCCCTGGCCTTCTGAGAATTGTTCCAAGCCTTCCCCGAGGACGCAGAAAAACGTTCCAGAACACAAGCAAGAACGTTTCAGAGAGCGTGAGGGCTTCTGAGAAGTCCCGCCGCCTTTTGAGAAGGCATTCGCCTTCCCGCTTGCCCCCCCACGCTCGCCGCCGAATGTCGGGGGCGGCACAGAGGGGGGCGTCCAAGAGGGGGTTGTGCAGATCGTGGCCGGCGGCAGGTGCGCGGACCAGGGGGGGGGCCAGGGAACGTATAAAGAAGCGCCATGAACTCTGGGGAGATATCGTGGCGCCCGCCATCATGATATCCCCCCCTACACGTCGTTTATTTCTGATCGTGCTGACTTCTAATTGTGCTCGTTTCCAATTGCTCCTGGCCCCCTTGTGGCCAGGAAGAGGCCCAGGACGGAACAATCAGAAATGAAAGGATCTGGGCCCCCAAAAAAATCAAAAATCCTCTCGAAGAATTGGGCACGAACAGCGTGCAGTCATCACCCCCCCCCCTCGTGGCCGCCCCCGGGGAAAGTGGGGCGCTGGATCGCTCTGCCAGCAAACGGCCGGGCGGTAAAGGCTGACGGCCGCGAGGGCGCGCGGCTGCCCAGCTTGGCTGGGGGCCGTCGTCCGCCCTCCAGGGCGAAGCGGGGTGACGCAAGGGGGGGGGTAGGCTGGAGTGGAAGGAGGAGGAGGAGGAGGAGGAGGAGGAGGAGGAGGAGGAGGAGGAGGAGGATGAGAGGAAGAGGTGTTGGAGGAGGAGGAGGACGAGGAGGAGGAGGACGAGGAGGAGGAGGAGGAGGACGAGGAGGAGGAGGAGGAGAGGAAGAGGTGTTGGAGGAGGAGGGGAAGCGGGAAGGAGGAGGAGGAGGCTGCAGGCTGCGGGCACGGCTGCTAGTCGTCCAGCATGCACAGCATGGCCACGCCCCTGCATACCCAGAACGACGGGTCGGGCGACGGCTGGGACAGCGGGAAGTACTTGACGAAGTTGGTGGAGTGCCCCGTGGTGGAGAGGGTGCCCTTCCGCTCGGAGGTTTTGTAGATGGTCGGCGGCAAGCGGAGGGGGCAAGAGAGAGGGAGGAGGCCCATCTCAGAAGGCGGCGGGACCTCTCAGAAGCCCTGGCGTCTTCTGACAGGTCTCCTGCGTCTTCGGGGAAGGGCAGGAAAACTTCTCAGAAGGTCGGGCGATTTCCGAACCTTCTGAGAAGGCCCTCCCCTTCTAACTTCCCCCCCTCGCTCGCCGCCGAGATGGGGCACATGTACAGGTTCCACTCCGCGACACGCTTCGGGACGTCGGTGCTGCTGCACGGCTCCAGCCAGATCACCGGCATGGGCTCGAACAGCACGTCCTTGACGGACTCCTTGAGCTGGCCTGAGGCAAGGTCCCAGCCGCAGCCCTGGAGGAACAACCCGTGGATGTTGACCCCAGACTCGGGAGCCTCCGCGTCTGCCGCGTGCGGGGTCTTGCTGACTGCCGAGAAGAACTCGAGCGTGTCGATCGGGATCTTCGTCTTGCGCGCGTGCAGCTGCAGCGCCGCCGTCATGAAGCCCTGAGGGAAGAAGAAGCAAGGCACCCAGAAGCTCGAGGGCGCACCTTGGGTGAGCCAGGTGCCCATGAACTTGATCCTCTCGATGAAATCCAGCACCCAGGAGTTGAGCGGCTTCAGGCAAGGGTAGGCAACTTTCTCCCAATTGGCCGGCACCTTCTGAACAAGGAAGGAATTGAACATGCCCTCCATATCCGCAGACATGAGAACAATGCCTTGGATGGCCTTGCCAAGGGTCTTCAAGCTCGACTTCACGGTGGAGATCATCTTAGACAGGCGCGCGTACTCCTGCCCGTGGAAGACACCTATGGACACGATGCCGCCGCCAGCGATCTTCTTGTACGTGCTGGAGTGGGCGTTCTTGGTCTTCTCCGCATCAGGGATGATCTTGAGGAAGCCCTCCGCGATCTCCGACACGATCTCCTCGGGCTTCTTCCCGCCGCCCCCGGACGATATGCGGGGCTGTACGCTCACAATGGTGTCGATCAGCTGCCTGGCCTGCTGCTGCTGGGCGGTGATGAGAGCGTTTGGGTGTAGGCCAAACACGCGCGGGTCCTCGTCCAGGGGCAAGGTCTTGACATATTCCCGCGTTTGCTCGAGGGGGCCCTCTGGCGGTGGGTAGTAGGCATCCAGGCCCGCGAAGCGGAACTTCTGGTCGAACATGTCCTCGACGAAGTACTGCTTCAGCAGCGCGGACATCAGCCTGACGTCCTTGTCGTCTGTCACGCGGCCGCCGTAATTCACGTCTGCAATGATGTAGCGCAGCGTGATCCAGGGCACGTCTGACTGCGAGACCAGGTACATCCTCACCTGCTCTCTGGAGACCTGGAAGTCCGAGTCCATCCACTCGTACGGGATGTTCCAGCCGATGGGGCCGAACTTCCTCCTCTCGAGGATCACTGCATGGAAGAACGCCAAACCAAAAAGCAACTTCTTGTACTCCATGGGCTTTGATGGGCACGACTCGAACGCTTCCTCGGTCATGTCAGCGAACGTGCGGCCCACGTTGGCCCGCAGGCCCTTCGGCGGCTCGTTCGTGATCTTCAGGCCCCCCTGCAGCACCGGGACGGGGAAGGCCGCCGAGGGCATGCTGGTGAGCCACAGGCGATAGTCCTCGCTGATCTTGTCTGGGTCCTGTGACTCCTGGATGGCCTCCAGCTTCCCCATCCAGCTGGCCGCCAGGTGGCAGTTCTGCAGGCAGACCCAGTCGCCCGTCTCCCAGCCCATCTTGATGAGCTGCTCCGCCTTCGGGCCCTGGCCCTGGCCCAGAGAGATGAAGTGGAGGCGCTCGGAGTAGCCCTTGTCGGCCGCGAGGGACAGGAGAGACTCGGTGGGGTCGGCGCCCGCCGACAGCACGAAGATCAGCGGCATGACGTGCTTCGAATCGCTGAAGGCGCCCTCCAGATCGAACGGCGGAGACTCGATGTACATCTTGCCCAGCTCGGCGGAGACGACGTTCCTGGCCACCAGCGTGAGCAGGTTCTCCTTCAGGGACTTGATCACCAGCATCTGCTGGAACGCCGACAGCTTCCCCGCGAAGTCGGACGGGAAGGGCCGGGACGGCATGTCGTCCGCGGTGCAGAAGGAGGACCACCCGCTGCCGCCGCCTGCAATGGCGTCCAGGAGGCCAGAGAAGGCTGTCTCGCCGGATGCCTCCGTCAACCGCTGCAGCACGCTTAGCTTCGCCCACGCCGCTGGGCTTACCCACCTCGGCACCTGCGGATCCTCGTGGTCCTCTGTCAGCGTTCCCTTCCCCGCCTCCTGGCTGCGCAGGAAGAACAGCCACTCGGAAGGCGTGATGGCCCTCTTGCCCAGGAACGCGGAGTGCGTGCCGTTCCGGAGGATCTGGGCGGAGATCAGGAACGCGAACAGGAGCTTGTGGTCCTCGAAAAGGCCGCGGCAGATATTCAGAAAGATGAACCTCGTGAAATCGTCGATCAGGATGGCTATCCTCTTGCTCACGTCCTCGTCCTTCTCGGATTCCCTGAGGCGATCCTGGAATAATGTGACGAAGAACTCGAGGCTGTATTGGTACATGGGGTCTATGTTGGCCAGGTCGGCCACGACGAAGTAGAGAATAGACGCCCGCGTCGCCACCGGTCTCAGCTCTTCGCGCACCTTGTCGATCTCGGCCATCGCCTTGTCGGCCACGACCATGCGGTCCTTGATCTCCGAGCCGGTGGCCTTGGACTGGTCCAGAGTCTTGATCAGCGTGTCGTCCTTGAGGACATCGCCGCCTGCCTCCGCCAGCAGCTTCAGGATGAGCTGCTCGAGGTCGTCCTGGGTCTTCTTGTCCGCCGCGATCTGCACCACCAGCTCCTGCCGCTGCTGCGCGAGCTCCGGGCGCTCGCAGGCGACCACCTCGGCCACCAGCTGGTCCTCGAGGCCCAGCAGGGTCACGGTGAAATTGATGATGGTGACCTCCCGGCGGCGCGCGCAGGGGGGAAGGGAGGAGGAGGAGGAGGAGGAGGAGGAGGAGGAGGAGGAGGAGGAGGAGGAGCAGAGGGGGCGGGTCGTCTCGGAAGGCCGAGAAGGCCTCCAAGAAGCTCCCAGGAGCCGTCTCCGAAGCCGCAGAGGGCCTCTCGGAAGGCTTCCGAGCAGCCCTGCCGCCTCCCGAGATGGCCTGGCCCCGCACACGGTCCCCTTCCTGGCGCGGCGCCGGACCTTGATGCACACCTCCGGCAGGTAGTGCGGGTTCGCCATCTTCGAGGTGATGTAGAACCTGAAGTCGTCCGAGTAGGGGACGTCGGTGTCCCCCAGGCGCAGGAGCAACTGCCCGCCCTTCTTGAAGATGGCCTTCGTGAGCACGGGCTCCAGCGCCGGGTCGAGCACCTCCTCCACGTTCTCGATGAGGAGGGCGCAGCCGTTGCGGATGCACGCCTCCATCTTCCGCAGGTACATCCCGTCGGAGAGCTTCGTGATCGTGATGTTCTTCTCCTTCGAATGGGGGATCGACTACGAAATTGAATTAAGCGATGACTGTTGCTCGCCGAATCCACGATATATGATGTATAATGCTAGCACATCTACGAACAGTCTACGTCTTTCTCTCCATAGCTTCGATGGAGATTTCAAATTTGGGGTTCATCAATTCTGTAGTCGATCCCCCGGTCGACTCCTTGCCCATGTTGCGCACCCAGCGGTTTGCCTGCCCCTGCGGATCTATCATCAGGGGCCAGCGGCGCCCGCGCGTCACCATGAGGCCGTTCTCCACGGACAGGTCGTCGGAGGGCAGGCCGTGGATATTCCAACTGCGGACCTCGGCCGGGTCGACGAGCACGTCGGCCGCCCGCCAGCTGGGGTCGGTGTCCAGCTCCAGCGTCTGAGCCTCGGTGAGCCATTTGGCGACCAGGTCCCGGCGGAACTCAGCCGTGAAGGGACCCGTGTAGGCGATGAAGCCACCCGCGAGCACGATGTTGCCCACCACGTACTTCAGGTTCTTGTCGAGGACGTCGCTGGCGGCGTCCCAGCGCACGCTCTCGTTGCCCAGGCCGTCCAGCAGCTTCTCCGCGCGTCCCAATTTCACCACGCAGTCCTCCGCGTCCTTCTCGAGCTGGGCGGCCTTCTTCTTCGCCGCATCGAGCTTGGCCTCGAGCGACGCGACATTGTCGAGGACAATGCGCAACTCCGCTTTGGCGATTCTGAGCTTCTCTTGCGCGCCGTTCAAAGTGTCTTCCGCGCCCTTCAACTTCTCCTTCTTAGGCTCGATCTCCCGTGCCACCCGGCCGTACACGTCCATGGCGCGCACCCACATGCAGAGGGACGTGGCGGCCGAAGAGACATTTTTGACCTTCTCCGGCGTGAAGTCTGGGTTGTTGATGTATTTCGCAAGGTTCTTCGTGAGCTTCTTATTCTGAGCCAGCGAGTCTTTGTCGTAGTTCTTCAGGTTCTGCAGGAAGTTGGAGTCGTTCATCTGCTTCTTGGCGTCTTCCCACGTCTCCTTCGCCCCAAGAAGCAAGCACACGGCGGACAGCACGGTCTCCACCAGCGGAGGCGGCTTCGTGAAATTCTTGACCTCAGAATTATGTTGTCCCCATCCTACTTAAGGACCACATCCTAAAAATAATTTCGAGCACCCCGAAAAGTGTCAAAAGAGTGTCGAAGCAGTGTCGAAACAGTGTCGGGCGAGTCTCCCAGGGCCCGACACGTGAAAACCCTTCTTGAGTTTCGGTGCTTTTTTGGGTGCTCGAAATTCTTCCTGGTGATCAAAGCTAAAGTAGGTTGGAGCATCATAACCTCAGAGATGTCTTTCTTATCCAGGGCGTCCAGCGATTTGATCGCACTGTAGTACTCTGGCAGGGCCGCGTCCAAATCCTTCTGGCAGTCGTCCTTGATGGCGTTGGCCTCCGTGGCGGCAGCGGACGCCGCGGCCTCGTCCACGGCACACGCCTCGCTCTTATCCTTGGCGATGGCCTGGTCCTTCTCCACCTGGCGGATGTCGGGCGCCCCGAACCCCCCCAAAATGTTCATCGGCTGCACACAAGGGTGCCCCCGGGTAAGAGTGACCCTTGGTGCGCGGCTTCTGGGGGGCCGCGGGGGGACCAAACCTGGGCGCGCAAGCCGCTGCTCCCGCTTCCTTTCCAGCCACTCTGGGGACCCACCTGTGCCCGCACCAGAAGGCCACTCCGGCGAAAGGTCACTCTGACGTCCAGTCGAGCTCATCTCCTGGGATCACGCTCTCGACTTCCGCCAGCCTTCCGCCGGCTATCCGTCGGCCGGAGGCGGCCTCGTTCTGCCTCCGCCGACCCTCCGCCGGGGAAGAGATGGCAGCTCCCTCGCTCCTCGAGGGCAAGGCCCACTCTGGAACGCCTCACCTGTATCATCAGCTCCGCAGTATCCTTCTTGGCCTGCTCGATCTCGGGCTGCATCTTCTGCAGGGAGCCCTTGAGGTCGTCCACCACCACCTTCGTCTCGTTCAGGGTCTTCACGCCCACCTTGTAGCGCTCGAGCTTCGTGGTGATCTCGCCCCTCTTCTTGCCAACCAGATCCACGAAGAGCCCGATGAGCTCAAGGTACGAGGTGGGAGTCATGTACGTCCTCCGCTTCAACATGTCGAAGAACTGTTCCGCGGCCTCCTTGGAGCTGCTGTGCATGAGGCCAGAGATCGCGGAGAGCTGGGGGATTAGAGACTCCAGGCCGAGCTCCTTTGGTGCCTGTCCGTAGCGCCTCTCCGCCACCGAGTAAAGCGCGTCTTTGGGCCATGCGCTATACCAGTCGATGGTGGCGCAATTTATGATGGACGGGAACTGCCGGCAGCGCCCCCGGAAGCCATCGCCGACTGGCGAGAAAGCAAGCGTCACGTGGAGATTCTCGCGCACCACCTGAACAAAATACTGCCAGACAGCGTCGCGCGACTCTGGCTTGCCGGCAGCCTTTGCCACCGGGCGCATCAAACTAATGACCTGCTCGGCCTCGTCGGGAGCGAACAAGTTCGGAACCTCGCCAGTGTTGAGTATGTTGTTAATATCCTCCAGGAACGACTCCTTCACGATCTGGGTGTCCGAGAAGAGGAACATGATCCCCTTGCCGCCACCCTTGGCCACCGCCAGCATCATGTTCTTGATGTCATCCTTGAAGGCGTTCCCATCGTATTGGCGCGTGATCTCGATGGAGTAGCACTGGTAGTCTGCCATGTGCGCTCCCATGCGCGCGATGGATTTGCGGCCGACGCCGCTGACGCCCACGAGCAGCATGTTGCCTCTGGGCTGGCGAATGGTACGGGTGCAGCGTGCCAGGTGCGAGCATGCGTCCCTGAAGAATACGATATCCATCTTGGTGGGGTTGGTCTGGTTGTAGTCATCCAGCCACTCGTTGAAGATCTCGACGCATTTCTCCTGACTTTCCACCTGCTCGTATGGTCGCTCAGCGCGATCCAGGAAGTCGCCGAAGATGAGCTCTCTGAATTCCTCAGCGCTGACCTTCTGGTTGGTCTGCGCCCCGAGTGCTCCCGCCAGCGTCGCATCGAACCAGCCGCGATCATGGTCGTCGATGAGACGGTCCCTGAACTGCCTGGACATCTCGTGCAAGAACAGATTCGTCAGGTCCTTCTCGCTGTTGAGCGCCTTCTTGACGTTGACCATCAACATGCCCTGCACCACCTTGGCGGGGTCTCGCAGGTTGAAGGTGTAATGGCACTTAACAGGGGTAGGCAGCAGGTCGTTCGTGATCTTGAAGAACATGTCCACGGAAGCCTTGACAATCGGCACAGCGACACCTTCGAGATCTGGCTTTACGTTGTGGAGCCAGCCGCCCAGGATGCTGGACAAGATCTGGTTCATGGCCTCTAGCGAAAGGTTGGGCATCCAAAGCATGTTGAAATGCCTGAACAGTCTGGGCGTCACTACCATCCGGCCTCCGCCAGGAGGGCCGCAGGCCGCGATGAACTGCGTGTCGGCTACAGCCTTCCAGAAGAGCTTCTTCTTGTCGTAGAAGCCGCCGTAGTCGATGACCTGCCGCAGGAGCTCAATGGGCGGCTGGGCTCCGTAGAACTCCAGCATCGGCATGTTGATGTCGTCGATGAAGAAGAGCATCGTGGTCCCTGGCGGTGCACCCAGCAGGTTCTTGCGCTTGCGCTCGAGGCGGTTCTCCAGCATGTCCACCACGTTGGCAGTGCTGGTCTGCGCGCTGAAGTTGGCCGTCGCCGTGGAGAACTTCTCGCCAGCAGTGTTCAAGAACTGTTGGATCCCCACAGACTTGCCCACGCCCGTCTCGCCAGCGTACAAGACATGGTACCCAGACTGCAGCAAGTTGTCCAGCAGCATCCTCTGACCCGTGGTCTCGGCGGTCGGCACCAGAATGTTGAAGAACGGCTCATCCATCTGGTAGCTGAACTCGGGCACAATGCAGGACAGTTCGGCCACGGTGCAGTCTTCGTCCTTCACGTACATCATGTACAAGTCACCGTCCGCGGGAAGCTGAGCGCAGAACTTCTGGAGGTGCGGGCGGATGAACGTCATAAACTTCTTCCGGGAGTTCTCGTGCAGGTTGGCCCCGAGGGACCAGATGGCACTCATGGCACAGTAGATGGCCGCGAGCCTCTTCTCGTCGTCCTCCGATTTCAGGGGCTTCCTATCCTCTTCGCCCTGGGGCACGAACTGGTGCCTCTCTGATATAAAAGTGGTCATCATGCGAAGGAAGCTCTGGATGAGGTTGGCGTCCATGGAAGGAATGCCCGGTGCCTCCTGACACTCTTCGCGGATGAAAGGGACGACCGCCGTGCAAATGTCGGTTGCCCACTTGCCGAGATTCGGAGCCAGAAGCGGGTACTTCTCTGCAAACCTCTCCGCCCAGCTGTCAATCAGCGGCTTCCAGCCTAAGTGCACCGGCTCAAGGTACACCATGCCGCATCGGCTCACCGTCGCTGGCGACGCCACCTGCAAGTCGTTGACCTCGAACATGATTGTCATGCTTGGCGGCAATTTGATGCGCTCGCCGTTGGCGAGACAGAGCATCTTGTTGTCGTCGAGCACCGTGTTCATGTTCTCGATCCAAATCGCGTCGACTGGGCCGTCGAAGTTGATCCACTTCTTGTTGTCGGAGGAATCGCTGACGGCCTCCCGCACAAGGATGGCCGTAAGCCCGTCCTTCCACTCGCCCGTGTTCTCGTTGAAGGAGCCATACAGCTCCTCGATCGTGATGCTCTTGGGGTTGAGGTTGAAGATCTTGGTCAGCTGGTGCGCGGCGTCCGTGGAGCCGTCCTTGCGCAGCTGCGTGAGCGTCTTGGCCAGGATGGTGCAGTCGGTGGTCTTCCCGGTCATCGTGAGGCCCACCAGCATGACCCCGTGGCGGACCAGCTGCGTCTCCAGGAGCTGCGTGATCTTGGTCACAAAGGCGGGGACGATCTGCAGCCCGGCCACGCGCAGCTGCCTCTCCATCTCCACCTTCAGGTCGCCGTAGTCCACGCTGGGGATGGTCACCTCGGGGTACAGATCGCTGATGATGCCGCTAAACAGTGGCAGGTCGAAGGAGAGGAACTTCGGCGCGTTCGAGTCCCGGAGAGCGCGGATCAGGGTCACGTTCTCCTCAAGATCTGGGTTCTGACGCTTCAAGTGCCCGGCCATCACCAGCACTGACTTCACGGCGCGCATGCCGAAGTCGTAGTGGTCCTGCTTCGAAAGCTGCTCCGAGGACAAGCGGTAGAGATTCACCATCTTCCGCGCCAGGAGCTTCGCGGCGTTGAAACCCTCGGAGTACAGAATGATCTCGGCGATGAGGCCGTAGTCTGGGACCATCATGGCCACTGGCCGAAACAGCGCCTTCAGGTTGTCGGGCAGCTCGGCACGCCCCGCGTACCCGGGGTTCATGGTGATGTACACCCCGAAGCGCCTGTTCAGCGGGATCTCGTTGCCGACGAACTCGAAGGTCTCCTTGCGGGCCCGGATGGCCTGGGTGACGGTGAGCATCTGCTGCGCGATGACGCTCAGCACCTCGACCTGGATCCGGTTGAACTCGTCGAAGCAGGCCCAGGCCCCGGCCTGCGCGAGGCCGCTGAAGAAGCGCCCCATGATCTTGTAGTCCAGGCCGTCGGAGCAATTGAAGACGACGATCGGCACGGCCAGCGCCTTCCCCAGGTCCTTGGTGGTCTCGGTCTTGCCCGTGCCGGCGGGGCCCGCGGGGGCGCCGCCGTAGTTCAGGTGCATGGCGCCCGTGAGCGTCATGTAGCACTTGTCCGTCAGCGGAGTGACGACGAGCCGAGGCGTGTTGCCGAGGTACTCGTAGGAGTACTTGAAGCAGGCGATGGTCTGCTTGCACACGCAGTCGTCCGAGATGGTGTCGCCCTGGGACGTGACTGCGCCGTTCTCGCCCACCCAGTAGTACCGCAGCTGCTTGCTCCAATCGAACTCGTTTGGTGACATGCAGCCGCTCTCGACGAGATTGTCCAGCACGGTGATGCCGTGCACGTCGAGCACGATCAGGGCACCCATCAGCACGCGCTGCAGCTTTGTTAGCTGCATCCTCACGATGCTGACCGAGTTGGCCAGCTGCCTGTTGTGAAACTCGATGTTCGTCTTCATGGCGTTCACGTCCGTTCCAGCGCTCATCTGCTCCAGCGCCACCTCTGCAAGCTGTGTCCAGTTCACCTGGTCGACAAGCAGCTGTGCCTGCGACGCTAGAGCAGACCTGCCCTCGAGCAGCCACGACGTGCGGTCTGAACCGTCCTCTGGGTACAGCTGCAGCGTCTCCTTGGTGAGAGCATACAGTCCGTTGACCATCGCCACCTCCACCTCCGAGAGCCACTTCTCCACGACTGGGCCTGTGACCACGGGCTCAACGAAGGGAACAGACTCCTTGATCATGTCCATCATGCCCACAATGTTGGCGCCCTCAAACTGCACGCGGTTGATGGAGTCGAAGCACTTGCTCATGTGCTCCTGAACTGCCTGCGGGTTCCGCGTCTGCGAGAGGATGCTGAGCAACTCATCGTTCGACAGGAAGTAGAACCGCGGGAACGCAGCGCGCTTCGTCTCCAGGTAGGCCTCCAGCTTCTTTTGCACATGTTCTAGCGTGTCGTTTGCCCACTTCAGCTTAACTAGAAGGTCGGGGATGTGGAATGCATCCATGGAGTTCTTGAACGACTGCCGGATCTTGCGGAAGAGATCCTTCCAATACTTGTCAACCTGCTTGAACTTGGCGGCCTCTGAGGGCAACTGCTGCTGGATGTCCTCCGCCGAGAAGATGTTCTCCAAATACATCCAGGCCCTCTGCACCTGGTACCACTCGTCGATGACATCCGAGGCCATGTTGATCTTTTTCTCCCACACCTCCACCTTTTCCTTTATGCCGTGCACGAAGCGACTGCCCATCATGGTGCCGATGGAGACGGAATGGTCCTCGCACAGCGTGATGACGTCGGCCAGGTCCCCGAGGATCCACAAGTCTCGCTGGTTCCTGTTCCGCAGACGGCATCGGTACAGCACCACTCATAAGGGAATCTGTCGACCCCTGTCCCAGGCTTCGACCAGGTTCTCGAAGGGACACGAAATTTGGGGCCCAACCCTGGGATATATGATGGGGGGCGCCCATCCTCGCCAGGGGGGCGCCCGAATATCCCCCTTGGGGTGTATGGTGCATCCCAGGGCTTCCCCGGTTGTCTGAGCGCCTTCATTGTCAGTTCTCGTGGAAAAAACCCTGGGATCCGACGTAGCGAAGAAACGCAACATCGTAAAAGATCACACCCGGAGCCCTGGGCCCCATCTCTCTGCGTCATTTTCCGGGCCGGATCGATCTGCGAGGGCCCGGGGGCCCGACAGGGGGCGAAAACGCCTGGCTCCAACAAAAATCGAGACGCCAGGATCTCAAGGGCACTTCCAGCGATAGGGGGGAGCGGGAACTCGCCTGCCACCCTGCCTCGTCAGGGCCACCCTCTGGGCCCCAGCCTGGGCGCGAAAATGCCCTCCAGCAGGGCTGGACCTGAACGCTGTTGTGCTCGTGTTGCCTCCGTTTGGGTGCTCGTGTGGCCCTGCCCGTTTCCTGTAACCCCCTGCCAAAACCACAAAAACAACACACAGCCGAAATCCAGCAAAACACTGTGCAGGTCCAGCCCTGCCCTCCCATGGGCCGAGGCCGACAGGGGGGCGCGCACCGCCCGTGGCCCCCCCGGGGGGCGTCCCTGGCAGGAGACGTGGTGCTGGCCGGCAGGTCTAGGACGAGGAGAGATCGGGATTCTCCGCTGAGGACACCTTCCGGCGAGGACACCTCCCGACGAGGACCGACTCCGACGAGGACGAGCCCCGACGAGGACGAGCTCCGACGAGGACAGATCGAGAATCTCTGGGATCCCACGGCTCTGGGGGACGATTCGGGCACCTTTCTCCGCCTCCGCCTCCTCCTCCCCCTCCTCTTCCTCCGCCTCAAATGCCTGATTCTCCTCCTCCTCCTCCTCCTCCTTCCTTCCTCCTCCTCCTCCTCCTCCCTCCTCCTCCTCCTCCTCCTTCTCGTCCTCCTCCTCCTCCTCCTCCTCCTCCTCCTCCTCCTCCTCCTCCTCCTCCTCCTCCTCCTCCTCCTCCCCCTCCTCTTCGTAAAGCGAAGCCAGGACAAGGATACATTCCGACGGGGATAACCCGAGAATCTCTGAGATCCCGCCGCTCTGGAGGATGCCTCGGGCGCCGCGGCCTGCTCAGAGCGGTCCAGAACGCTCTGAGAGCGTTCTAAAATGCTCTGGGACGGACCTCTCCTCGTCCTAGCCCCGCCCGATAGATACCTCCTGCGGATCCTGTGGTTCAGAATCGGGAGCGGGAGGTCAGCCCAGGCGGCGACGATCGCGTCCAGCTGGGTCTCCAGGCCGTGCTCCCCCGACGCCATCGCGGACACCTCCGAGACGAGCTCGCGGTGGTCGAAGATCCCGTTGGACTCCAGCTGGCTGAGCGTGATGTTGCTGGCGGAGGACGGACCCTTCCACGGCAGGCTGATCTTCTTGAAAAGCTTCTCCCAATGCCTGATACTGTTTGCTAAGGCGCCAAGATGTATCACCATGGCGGTCTCATCAAGAGGTCTCCAGGGGGCTCCTTGAAGCCTCCCTGGATATTCCAGAGGTCTAAGGGGGGGACTTTGAAACGCCTCGATCCACCCCACTGCCTTGGCCTCATGGCAGGATTGCCGAGGTCCAGGATGGTAGGCATTTTCTCCTTGTACTCGTCGATCATGTTCTTCACCTGCGCGACCACCTCGTCCCCCTCAAGGGCTTTCGAGAGATTGAACGCGGTCTTGTTCGACGCGTTCACCTTCTTGGCCATTTCCTCCACATCGACGCCGCGGAAGTCCGAGGTAAGCCAGGTGCCAGACATGTCCTTTCTGAAAAGCAGGTGTGTTTCCCAAACCCGGGCTTGCACTGAGGGAGTTCTACATGTCCTGGAACGAACTGACGTGCGCTATGGAAGTTCCCTGACTTCCCCGGCCATGGAACCCTGCTCTACCAGGTCCCGCCAACATGGGTCAAGGTCCCACCCGATGGTGCCCCATCATCCTGGGTCCCACAAAGTAGGACTCCACCCTGTAGGGCCTCACCCTGGTGCCACCCAATCACAACACGGGATCTCGCTCCACAGGGTGAAGGTTTCAAGGTGCAACGCGCGCCCCATAGGAGTTCTAGCCTAGTGGTCTCACACATGGGGGTCCCTCGCAGTAGCTCACACACTGCACCGCACACACTGGACCCAATACATCGCACCGCATACGTTGCACCGCATGGGCTGCATCCGAAACATTGCACCGTACGGATTGCCCTGAACCAACACTTCGCCTCAAAGGCCGACCCCCCTTCGGCGGTGGACAAACCTCCCTTTAGTAGACCTCCCCGTAGTGAAAACGGCCTGGGACCGAAACCGACGGACCCGGACCCGCAAACATGACGGCCGCGACGCCCTCTCGCGAACCGAAAACGGCCAATTCCTTAATCGACGTGTCAGGGTAGGAGGTCTGTCCACCCCCGACCCATGTTCCACCGCACAGATGACGCCCCATGGACTGCACGGGGTCGCAAGGTTGTTCGGCGCACGACCGTTGCGCACGCGGGCTTCCAAGCTCTGGTGCGTCCCTCGGAGGTCCGCGCAGAGTTGCTCCCTGGGTCGGCGCCCGGCCCCCCCCCCCTGTCCTGCCGCGCGAGGCGCAACAGGGGGGGCGGCAGCGGAGGCGACGCCCCAGGGGTCCAGCACCGACCCAGGAGGGGGAGGAGGAGGAGGAGGAGGAGGAGGAGGAGGAGGAGGAGGAGGAGGAGTGGAGGAGGAGGAGGAGGAGGAGGAGAGGAGGAGGAGGGAGGAGGAGGAGGAGGAGGGTAGGAGAGGAGGAGGAGGAGGAGGAGGAGGGGAGGAGGAGGAGAGGGAGGAGGAGGGAGGATGGGGGGAGGAGGAGGCGGAGGAGGGAGGAGGGAGGAGGAGGAGGAGGAGGAGGAGGAGGAGGATGAGGAGGAGGACAAGAACATCGCGCGGGCCCTCTGAAAGCTTGTGTGTGCCTCTCTTTCCTTCGACGTGTCCTGCCACTGGTGCGCGAGGTCCCACAGCTGCCACTTCTGCTGGAAGAGCTTCTTGCCCTTCTCCAGGTCCTGGAACTCGAACGTCTCGCCCGCCGGGACCTTGGGGGCCGAGCCGAGCAGGCCCTCGTACTCCGAGCAGGTCTGCGCGCGCTCCTCGAGGTACTTGACCTGCTTCTCCCCTATCCTCTCGAGCTCTTCGAGCACCTCCAGAAGCACACACATCTAGTTGCACAAGCACAAACTTTCGGAGGTGCGCGCGGACTGTTGGGTCGGTGCTGGGACCCCCCCTGGCGCGCGACGCGCGCCAGGACAGGGCGGTCCAGCTCCAACCCAAGTAATGTGCCCGAACCTCCCAAACTCTATGTCGATGCAGCTCTTCTTCTTTGAACCTCACTAGCCATGCCGATCTTCTCCGCGTCCACGAAGTCACCAACCTGGAGTGTCTCCTGGATCTCGCGCATCTTCTCCTCGATCTCGAGGCTCTTCTGGTACGTCTCCTCGGCCATCTTCGCCTGCTGCTCGTCGATGTACTTCTTTGCCTCGACCATCTTGCTGTGGGTAAACTCGTGCTCCATTGTCTTCAAGTTCTCCTCCGCGACCTGGTCGTCCGTCGACAGCTTGACCTTCGCCTTCCGGAGCAGGGCGTACATTGTCTCAATGTCTTCCATCAGGAACTCGAGGTCCCCGAGTTCCTTCGGCGATGCGCCGAAGAGGGGAGGCGGAGGGGAGGAGAGCACCAGCTATACACCAACATCAATTCTTGCCAGGATCACCCTGGGCGGAGGGTTGGAGCGTATACACCGATCCTGGGCCCAGGATCGGCCTGGCCAGGATCGGTGTAGGTGTATAGTTGGCGCCCTCCGAGTGGGAGCGGGCCTTTTCAGAAGGCTCAGAAGGCCTGTGGCCTTCTGAGGAGCTCTCTGAATCCTCTCCGAGGCCACAGGGGGCTTCTCAGAGCGCTGGAGGGCTTCTGAGAAGCCCAGCCGACTTCTGAGAAGGCCTGCTTCATCCTCCTCCGCATCCTCCTCCTCCTCCTCCTCCTCCTCCTCCTCTTCCTCCCCCTCCTCCTCCTCCTCCTCCTCCGCCTCCGCCTCCGCCTCCGCCTCCTCCTCCTCCTCCTCCTCCTCCACTCCTCCCTCCTCCTCTCCTCCTCCTCCTCCTCCTCCTCCTCCTCCTCCTCCTCCTCCTCCTCCTCCTCCTCCCCCTCCCCCTCCCCTCCCCCTCCCCCCCCTCCCCCTCCCCCTCCCCTCCCCCTCCCCCTCCCCCTCCCCTCCCCCTCCCCTCCCCCCCTCCCCCCCTCCCCCTCCCCCTCCCCCTCTCCCCTCCCCCTCTCCTCCTCCTCCTCCTCCTCCTCCTCTTCCTCCTCCTCCTCCTCCTCCTCTCCTCCTCCTCCTCCTCTCCTCCCTTCCTCCTCCTCCTCCTCCTCCTCCCCCCCTCCTCCTCCTCCTCCTCCTCCTCCTCCTCCTCCTCCTCCTCCTCCTCCTCCTCCTCCTCTCCTCCTCCTCCTCCTCCTCCTCCTCCTCCTCCTCCTCCTCCTCCTCCTCCTCCTCCTCCTCCTCCTCCTCCTCCTCCCCCCCGCGGCGAGGCCGCCGGGCTCCTGCAGCACGCTGGAGTAGGTCTGCACGTAGGCGGCGAACTTGGACAGCTCCTTGGGCCGCTCGTCCAGCTGCTTGATCCTGGGGGAGACCAAAAAGGTATCGATACCGCTACTCCCCGGACCTCCTCTGGTTAGGAAGCAACTGCAGGGAGGTCTTCGTCGGAAAAGTTGAGGAAAATGAAGCCCCATTTGGGGGGCTGTTACGCCGGAAAGGGCCTCGGACCAAGCCGGATTAAGTCGGATTAAGCGGGACTAAGCGGGATTAAGCCGCATTAAGCGGGATTAAGCTGGATTAAGCCCGATTTCGGACCAGGGCGAAAACAGAATTTGACCTCCCAGGAGTTGCATCCGAATTCTGGGGTGCGTTCTGACCAGGATTTCGAGGCGAATCCAGCGGTGGCGACGATGGCCTCCCAAGAGGCCCAAAACGGGAGAACGGCGAAAGGAAGAGGTGTGGGTACATCTTCCTCCTCTGAATCCTGGTCTCGAACTTGTCGGTCGCCTCGTTCGTCTTCTCCTGGGCCATCTTGAGCAGGCACCTCCGCATCGCATTCAGCGCCTGCTCTGGGATGGGCACCAGTTCGCCTCGCAGGCCTTTCCCGTCAACGGAGATGATCCCGAGCTGATGATGGGCGCGGAATTTTTCGAGGTCCTCTTGGAACTCCCACATCCTTAGAAGAAACAGCCAACACATAAACATCAACTTTTGGCGCCCCTCGCAGATTTCTTGGATCCGCGCCGGGCCCCCTCCCTGGCGCGCGGAGCGCGCCAGGGGCGGCGCTGGAGGCGCCGCCGAGAGGGCCCCAGCGCAGATCCAAACAAATCCGCGCGGAACGCAAACAGTTGATGTTTATGGCACTTTCTCTTCTTCGAATCCTGGTCATGTCTCCGTGCAGGTCGTCATACGTGTGGACCTCGTCGATGTAAGCCTCTTCACTCCACTCCGTGCCAAACTCATAGATCTGCCTGAAGGGCTCGTACTGCTCGTTGGCATACGCCTGCGTGTTGTCTATGTTCTCGTTGATCGCTTTCTCGATCTGAGACACGAACTCATTGAAGTTGGCATTGTTGAGCAGGATGTCCCGGACGGCCTGGTGGGGCGCGACCCGCGTGTACGCCTCGTACTGCCGGACCGTCGAGAGCGACGGCACCTGGTTCACGACACCGATGGTGCCCTCCCAGAGCGACCTCAGGGTCTCCAGGAAGTCCTCCCTGCGGGGCTCGAGCGAGATGTGCCTCTCGCCGAAGCCGACGGAGATGAAGAACAGCTTCTGCGCGGCCGCGACGCGCTGCAGGAAGTCGTCCGCGGCGCTCAGCACCACGTGCACCAGCGCGGCCTGGAACATGTGGTCCACGAGCCGGATGCACGCGCCCAGCATGGCGGCGTCCTCTTGCAGGCGGCGCGCCAGGGGCAGGGCGAGGGTCGCTCCCTTCTCACGGGGAGCGGTCCCTCCGCCGAGGCTCCCGACGAGGCTCGGCAGACGGAGAAGAACAGGGAGGGCTCCTCAGCTTGCCGTCGCTCGGACGTCCATATTTCCCCTGCATTCCTCGGTTTCGTGCGCGATGTTTGTTTTGGCTCGATGGTCCAGGAGGGTCCTCGATGCTTCTCGCCGAGAAAAAATGCACGCGTCCGAGCGATGCCGAGTCGGAGGCGGGGCGCCTTTTTGAGAGGCCCGGCACCCTCTGGCCCCGCCCTCCTCCCCCACCCCCCTTGTGGCCTGGCGTGAGAGGGAGGGGTCCTGTTGGACACGGGGCCCTGGGGGCCTCTCGCGGGCCTCCCGGAGGCCTCTCTTGGGCGCCTCTGGGCGCTGCCTGGGCGCCCTTTGGGGCCCTCCTGGGGGGGCTCCTGGGACCTTGATAAGGGCGCCCTTGCAGGGCCGTCTTGGAGGGCATCGACTCAAAGAGAGGGGCACCTTGATGCCCGCCCCCCCCCCTTGGGAGCCCCGGTGCCCAGGGCCGCGCGGCGACCTCGACGTGCGCACGGCGCGCCGCCGCACCGCCTTGGGACCCTGGGGGCACCCATTGCACGAGGAGGAGGAGGAGGAGGAGGAGGAGGAGGAGGAGGAGGAGGAGGAGCAGGAGGAGGAGGAGGAGGAGGAGGAGGAGGAGGAGCGTGAGGAGCAATCTTTATGCCATCAGGAAGCAGGAAACAGGAGGAGGAGGAGGAGAGGAGGAGGAGGAGGAGGAGGAGGAGGGGGAGGAAGAGGAGGACGAGGAGGAGAAGGACGAGGAGGAGGAGGAGGACGAGGAGGAGGAGAAGGAGGAGGAGGAGAAGGACGACGACCCGAGCCCCCGCAGCGGAGGCCAGTCCACAAGAAACCTTCCACAATAAACCCAACCCTCGAGACCCCAGGACGTCCACGGACTTTTTGGGTCGGGAGCGTCACGCTCCCCACAGCAAGCCCGCCGAAGCCCAAGAAACCGGCACCCTGGAGGCGAGCAGGGTGCTTCTTGGCATGGGCCTCCACTGCACGTCGTGCGGGTGACCCCGAAGGCCGACCGAGCCACCGCGCGGTGTGGTCACCGCAGCGTCTGGGGCCCTCCGATGTCTATTCTGAGCCGTTCCCTCGCCACCGCTCGGACGTCCATTCCACGTGCACTTTGTCCGGCCTCGTGCGAGCACTGTTTGCGCCTTTCCTAAGCATATCCCGACAGCACTGCTGACAGGACGGCAAATGGACACAAATCCTACACATGCTGTGTCTTAGCCTCTCTTTGCACTTGCGCTTGTAGTGCGGCGATTGCAGACCCGAGGATCCATTAACCCTGTGTGGTTGCGAGAAGGTGCTCTGTATAAACAAAAACATGTTTTCGCAGGATGCTCCAGGGTGGGTGCTCCTCGACGGCCCTCGCCGCAGGAACGCTCACACGTCCGAGCGGTGCCAAGCTCTCCTTCGACGGCCCCTGAAGGCCCCGGAAGGGCCCCGTGAGGAGCCGACAGCAGGGTTGAACAAACGCTCCCGGGCCCCCCTGCCCCCGGGGACCTCTCTCCGGGTGGAGGCCCTCCACGAGCCCCTCCCCGGACCCGTCCTGGGGCGCGCTCCGACCAGAGCCCCGCTGGGGAGCCCGGGCGCGGCCGCGAGAGGGCTCCGAGGAGGCCCCGAGAGAAGCGCGAGCTGCTCCCTTCTCCCGGTGGAGGCCCTCCACGAGCCCCTCCCCGGCCCCGGCCTCGGAAGCGCTCCGACCAGAGCCTGGAGGGGAACCGAGAGGCGTGGCCGCGAGAGGGCTCCGGGAGGAGGAGGAGGAGGAGGAGGAGGAGGAGGAGGAGGAGGAGGTGGGAGGAGGAGGAGGAGGAGTCCGGCAAAACCGTGAGCCCGTTTGCTGCGGCGGCGGGCCCAGGGCGGCAGCGAGGGGGGGCGGGCCTGCTCGGAGGGCTCTCGGGCTCCCCTCGGCCTGCCGAGAGGCTCTGCCTGACTTCGCGGGAGGCACGGGCAGTCTCTCCGAAGGCCGGGGGGCTTCGGAGAGGGCCCCGCCGCCGCCGCCCTCTGAGGAGGCCTCCTCCTCCTCGCTGTCCCCCCTCCTCGCCCGCCGCCGGCTGTTCGTGCCTCTCGGCTTCTGCTTGCTCGCCGCCGAGTGTCAGAGGCTTCTTTTGCTTCTGCGCTTGCTCTTGCTGAGCCCCTGCGCGCCGCGGCGTCCTGCCGCGCCACGCGCTGGTGCCTCGCGCGCTCGCGGCCCTCCTGCTTCTCCTGCACCATCGACTTGGACTTGTTCCTCGGGGGCGCGCCGCCGGAGACGACGACGCCGACTGCCACGACGAGACCAAGGACGACGAGGAGGACGATGACGACGATGACGACAACGACGACGCCGACGCCGCCGACAACGACGACGACTTCGATGCCGACTGCCACGACGACGGGGGCGATGACGAGGACGGTGCCGACTGCCATGACGACGGAGATGACGCCGGCTGCAACGACGAGGACGGGGACGGCGGCGACGAGGATGACTTGCTCCTCGAGGACGGGTCGCCGCCGGCCGTCGGGTCGTGGTCGATGGAGCGGTTCACCGTGGCGATCAGCCGGTCCAGCAGCACCACGACGGCGTCGTGCTTCTGCTCGAACTCCTCAGCAGAGTCGAAGAAAGCACATCAAGACTCCGCACGGATCTTCCGCGTCGGCCCAAGGAGAAACAAGGATTATACTGCTCCCATCGGACTTAAGGACCACATCCCAGAAATGATTCCGAGCACCCGGAGCAGTATCGAAAAAGTGTCGAACAAGCATCGGCACCCATGAAATCCCTCCAGTTTCGTTGCTGCCTTGGTGCTCGAAACTATTCCTGGCGGTTCAGGGTGAAGTAGGTAGGAACATCATAGAACAAGGACCACCTGGGAGGGTCGGAGCTGGACCCTCCTGGCGGCGTCTCTGGCGCCAGCCCTGGCGCGCTTCGCGCGTCAGGGCAGGGGGGTCCAACGCCCGCGCCAGGGAGCCTGCGCGGACCTCCGCAAACTTCTGTCTGCTGTGCCACTCTGGGCCTCCGGCTCCTTCTGCGCGCCGGTCGCCTGGTTCGAGCGCTGGAGGTTCTGCTTGTCGGAGAATGAGCCCAGGTGGTAGCAGGTCTGGTCGATGTCCATGACCTTCACCTCCCCGACCTCGTAGACTCGTTTGTTGTACTGTGTGTTGTTTGTTTGTGTTTTTTTCCCCCGACCTCGTAGATGAGGCTGTGGACCTGCGCGAGCGGCTCCGCGAACAGCGGCTTGGTGAGCAGGCAACTGCGCGCCAGGCGACGCCGGCACGAGCAGTAGACCTCGTAGCGAGCGTTCACCTTTCTGCTGCGAGCGAGGGGGGGAAGTGAGAAGGAGAATGCCTTCTCAAAGGCAGCGGGGCTTCTCAGAAGCCCCCATCATTTGTGTCTTTGGTAACTTCTCTCGGAGGGCCAGGAGACTTCCGAGCCTTCTGAGAAGGCCCGCCCCTTCTCACTTCCCCCTGGGCTCGCCGCCGCACCTTCCACTGCTCGAAGACCTTCCTGTGGATATAGTGCTTGAAGAATGCCATGGACGTCAGGACCCTAAACATCAGGGTCTGGCGCATCCAGTCCACCAGCGAGATGCACTCGGACAGCTGCCCTGGCACGACGTGAACGATCCCGCTGGACGAGATGGTGAAGTACTCTGGCTGCCGCATGTCCTCTTTCACAAGCTTCAAATCATACGGTTGGAAACTATCGTCCTCTGAAGGGTCTGCCCGGTTGCAGTAGAGCAGCCGGGTCTTGGCGATGGCTCCATTCCTGGCGAAGAACGCGATCGCGTCCTCGCCCGTGTGCAGTTTCGCGAGCTCCAGCTTGAGATACTCCTCGTCGTCCAGTTCGATGCCGCCGTTGTTCTTCTTGAGGATTGCTTTGACTTCGTCCTTGGGCTTCGCTCACTGGGGGGGGGCGGATAATTTGGGGGAGGGGAAGATAGGTGCCCTTCTCGGGCCCGAGTGAAAGACCCCCCTTCGGGGCCCTGAAGGGCCCCTGCAGAGGAGGACGAGGAGGAGGAGGAGGAGGAGAGGAGGAGGAGGAGGAGGAGGGGGAGGAGGAGGAGGAGGAGGAGGAGGAGCAGGAGGAGGAGGGGGAGGAGGAGGAGGAGGAGGAGGAGGAGGAGGAGGGAGGAGGGAGGAGGAGGGGGAGGAGGAGGGGGAGGAGGAGGAGGAGGAGGAGGTCGCCCCCCCCCCCAGTACGCGACGCCCATTGTCCAGGGCCACGACCGTCTCCGGGTCCGCGTCCACGGCGCCGCCGTCCCCCACGTAGATCGACGCGATCGTCTCCAGGTGGGGGGCGTCGAGCGCGGTGGGGTCGTCCTCCGGCTCCTCCTTCGGGGGTTGCTGGGAGGTGCCCCTGGCCCAAGGTGCCCTCGGCTTTGTGCTCACTGTTGGAGCCCCTGGGGCCCTCTGGGCCTCGTGGGCGGTGCTCTGGAGGCCGCGGGTTGCTCCTTGGAACTCCTGGGGGCAGCTTGGGCCAGGGGCTGCGACTGCGACTGCGACATAAGGTCCAGACGAGCAGAACACTAAGGCAAGCTAAAGCGAACTCAGCTCAGAACCCGACCAAGAAAGAGAGAGAGAGAGAGAGAGCGAGAGAGAGAGAGAACGACAGGAAGAGAGAAAGAGAGAGAGAGGGGGGGAGGGCACGAGAGGCCTGATTGCCTTTCTGCCTCGCCGAGCCTGGGTCGGCTGCAGGGCTCGTGCTCGTGCTGAGGAGGGGGCCTGGGCCTTCTGACTCCTCCGCCTCCCCTTCGGCACGGAGCACCTGGATCGGCTGCAAAGCTCGTGCTCGTGCTGGGGAGGGGGGCCTGGACCTTCTGACTCATCCGCCCCCCTTCTGCACGAAGTCATGCCCTTCTCTGGCAACACTCGAGGATGGACAGAACCCCCATTTAGCAAAACGTGGTTCAGCGAAAACGACCTCGGGCCCAGACCTGGCGGGCGCAAGCCTGGAAAACGACGGCCGCGGCGCCCTCTCGAGAAGCGAGAACGGACGCTTCACTAATCGACGTGTCAGGGGTGGCATTCTGTCCACCCCCTGTTGACACACCCGTGGCCGCTCCCCAGGATCGGGGTATCCTCCCTCCTCCTCCTCCTCCTCCTCCTCCTCCTCCTCCTCCTCCTCCTCCTCCTCCCACTCCTCCTCCTCCTCCTCCTTCTCCTCCTTCTCTCCTCCTCCTCTCCTCCTCCTCTTCTCCCTCCTCTTCCTCCTCCTCTCCTCCTCCTCCTCCTCTCCTCCTCCTCCTCTCCTTCCTCCTCCTCCTCCTCCCTCCTCCTCCTCCTCCCTCCTCCTCCTCTCCTCCCTCCTCCGCCTCCTCCTCCTCTCCCCTCCTCCTCCTCCTCCTCCTCTCCTCCTTCTCCTCCTCCTCCTCCTCCTCCTCCTCCTCCTCCTCCCGGCTCCTTCACCGCCGCGGCCCTCGCCCGCTGCTCCGCGGCCTGGGCCTTGGAGGTCGCGACCTCGGCGCCCGCGGGCACGCCGAGGCGCAGGAAGGAGTCCGACCTGTGGTCCAGGCGCCTGCAGTGGAACCAGACAGCGGCACAGATCGGGGAGACGCAAGATTAGGTCGGGCCTGCCCCCCTACAGGCGGATTTTGGACGAAGAATGCATACATACCAACAAATACCCCCCAAGCAATCAAAACATCGTCCCCACACTATTTTTCTTGATTATTTTCGAAGATTCCTTCCGTAGAGGGACAGGCCCGACTTAACCGTAAGACTCGGGTACGGGGGACTCGGGCTGGCCCGACGGGGCCACCATAAAAAAACGACGAGGCCAAAACATCTGGCGTGAGCATCCCACGATAGCTGGGCCGTCAGAATCCAGGACGCGCTCGTCAAAGACCGTCGGCAAAAATCCGACCTGCGGCTTACTCGAGTCTTACGTTTCCCCGGAGGTACATACTTTCTCGGTCCGCGCGGATTTCTTAGACCGGCGCCGAGCCCCCTGCCTGGCGCGAGGAGCGCGCCAGCGCTGGTGGCGCCGCCAGGGGCGGCCCAGCGAGGATGCAAGAGATCCGCGCGGACCTCCGAGAAAACTCATTCTGTGCATGTCGTTGCTGGCTTTCCGAGCCTAGGCATCTGGCTCCACCCAGCGGATGCACTCATCAGCCTGGTCTGCCTCAGCGTCGAAGGCAGCCCCGGGGACGACTCCTGTGATGAACCAACAAGGGACCCTAATCCTTTGGGAGGGGGCCTAAGTGAGGAGGGCCAAGAACATTAGGGATAGGGCCTCTTTTCTGCAGATGTATCGAACCAACCTGCACAGATCTTTTACCCCTACTGCAAAGACGGGGACCTCAGTGAGGACACGCCTTCATCGTGCTATCAGGCTTGGGGGTCCTTTTGTGCTCGATGATCCTTGAACGGGTCCCGGAAGGTGACCTTCAGCGGCCCCAGCGGAGGCAGCGCGGTGGCCGAGGACGAGTGCCCATGGGGCGACAGGCCTGGGAAGGGCACACCTCATGCACCGATGCCGCTGCTCCCTGGTCCCCTCTCCTCCTCCTCCTCCTCCTCCTCCTCCTCCTCCTCCTCCTCCTCCTCCTCCTCCTCCTCCTCCTCCGCCTCCTCCTCCTCCTCTGCCTCCTCCTCCTCCCCCTCCTCCTCCTCGTCCTCCTCCTCCTCCTCCTCCTCCTCCTCCTCCTCCGCCCTCCTCCTCCTCCTCCTCCCCGGGCGCTCTCTGGCCAGGACTCCGCGACGAATGCCGCGGCGACGACGAGGTCCCCCCCCCCCTCTCGGCAGCGCTCGCTGGAGCAGGGGCGAAGAGGCACGCCTCGGCATCGACGCGTCTCCCAAACGTCCGCCGAGGTGACCGTTCCAGTGCGCAGCCCCAGGAGGGGAAAATCCATTTCCACCCCTAGAGGAAAAAGAGCTATGCACATACACCGATTCTGGCCAGACCCATCCTGAGCCCAGGATCGGTGCATACGCCCTCCTACCTTGGCCAGGAAGGCATATGCACCGATCCTGGGTCAAGGATGGACGTTGTCAGGATCGGTGCATGTGCATATTTCTCTTCGCCCGAACCCCAGGTCAATGTTTCATCGCCCCGCAATCTGACAACGGGCCCCCGGGGGGACCCATCCAGGAGAAAAGAGCGGAGGCCGAAAAGATCACACCGCCAGGCCCTTCTGAGGGGCCCAGATCCCAGAGATCCGATGTCGTGATTTTTTCAATACGGGGTCCGCGGAAGTCTCGACCCGTTCCCCAGGACCAAATTTTCATCCTGAGTCGTTTTTTGACGGTCCCGCGGCCCGGCGAGGGCCCCTCGAGGCCTACAAATACGGAAAACCTCCGTCTTGATTTTTTCAGTGCGTTGGATCTCTGGGAACGAGGGGGAAGGACCCCTTCCCGGAGATCCGATGTCTTCCTTTTCCCACGCGCGCCCCCAGACGCCCCCACCACTTCCCCAGAGCGGGCTTCCCATGCCGAGGCGCTCCCTAAAACGGCCCCGATCAACCCGGCTGGGGCCCCAGAGGCTAAACAAACTGAGAAAGAGTTCGTCGGTATCCCATGCGATCCCAGACCCCCTCGAGCCTTGACAAAAAAATCACGACGCGAGGTTTGCCGCCATGTTCGGCCTCCGGGGGCCCTCGCCAGCCCTCGAGACCGTCAAAAAACGACTCGGGATGAGAAGCTGGTCCTGGGGAATGGGTCGAGACCTCTGGGGGTCGACGCCACGAAAAACGTATGACGTCGGATCGATCCGAGGGATCGATCGATCTCAGGGATCCGACGTTGCCCAGAACTTGCAGCATCGTGAATGGGCACGCCCAGAGGCCTGGTAGACTATAGATCCCATGCTCCAGGCCCGCTCCCCGAGCTGAATCGAGCATGGGAGAGTCCCCGCGGGCCCGAGACAGGGGGCCCATGGACACACAAATGAACACACACACAAATCCCAGGATTCCCCATATCTTCATATTTCCTGGGTCTTTGTCTTCCCCCCCACTTCCCATAGTTTCAAACATTTTCCTGGGGATCGGCGATGCACTGTGTCTGTGTGCTCTCTCCCCTCCTATAAGAGACACCGGGCGGCCACGCCCGTGGTGCAAAAAAAAGGACACGCTCGTCTCTGAGGACACCCAGACCCCCGACGTCATGATCTCTTCGTGCTCGTCGACCCCCCCCCCAGAGACCCAACGCATGGGAAAAGCCAAGACGGATTTTGGTTCGCAATGTTTGGCCTCGTCGCCGGGCCCGTTGTACCGTCAAAACACGACTCGGGATGAGAAGCCGGTCCTGGGGAGATGTGTCGAGACTTCCGGGGACCCCGTGTTGAACAAATCACGACGTCGGATCTCTGGGGACGTCGACCGGGTCTCGATCCATTCCCCGGGACCGGTTCTTCATCCCTTCACGTGTTCTCTTGATGGTCCCGAGGGCCGGCGCGAGGGCCCCCAGAGGGCGAGGATGCCGAAAAGCCTCGTGCCGCGACCTGTCGCAACGCAGCGCGAGGGGAGGTTCCTGGGGGGAGGTTCGCCCTCCCCGGGGGGGCCGCCGCCGTTCCCCTTGGCGCTGCTGGTGGCGGACAGGCCGCCCTGGCTCCGGGACTTGCGCAGCGCGGCAGCGCGCCCGCTGCCCGACGGGTACCCCGGCTGCTGCATGGCGCCCGCGGCCCGAGATCCGGGAGGGCGGCGGGCCTCAGGCCGCGCGCCGCGCCGGCGGGCCGCGGAGGGGGCGACGCGCCGCGCCGCGCGCAGCGAGCACCCCTGCGCAGGAGTGGCCTCGCCTCCTCCTCCTCCTCCTCCTCCTCCTCCTCCTCCTCCTCCTCCTCCTCCTCCTGGTCGCCTCGCCTCCCAGAACCCCCTCGCGTGGCGGGAGCCTCGCGGAGCTCAGCGGCTGTCGCCGTTTGCAGCGCCCCTGGGGGCCCTTCCACCGGGCCGCGGGACCGCCAGAAAACGCCTTGCAGGATGGAAAGCCCGTCCCCGGGGGTCGACGTCATGAAGAAATCATGAAACAACATGGCGACGTCATGCAACCATTGGGGGTCGACGTGACGAAAGAATCAGGACGTCTGGGGCCCGGGCTGACTGAGAAGTTGACGTTGCATTCTCGTCGCAGCGGCCCAGTTCGCCCAGCCCTGGGCCCCAGTGGGGCCCTCACGCGTCGTCCTGGCTCCCACGAAGGACGCGGAAAGATGGGGTCTACGGGGCTCTGGTCACGAATGGACGTGATGCTGCGATTTTCAGGTCCCCAGACAAATCGAGTCCATGTTTTAATGATTCGCGATCTCGCCCATGATTGGGCCCGCCCCCCCTCCTTCCCCTCATGGTTACGTCACGATTCGCAACGCTTCCGTATGGGAGTTATCATTTCATATTTCTATGAGCTGTAGAACGAAAGCGGATTACGATGTTGATCCCATTGTGTGGGCACATGACATCTATTAGCAAGCATTGCAGGAGTCATCTGCTGGCCAACGATGGGACCTGGGCATTGCTAGGTCGATGAACCATGCTAAATTGCTACAGTGCTAGTTTAATGTACATCATGTCTAACATGTGATGCATGTGACGATGACGATGAAACAAAGACGGTGGCGCGCAGGATATTATTAGGGATTATATGAGGAGGAAGCGGTCAACATGTCGATGGGGACGGCCATAATGGGATTGACGATGGGGATAATGACGAAGCCCGCGGCCGTGGACGTATGATTCTGATGAAGTAGATGATGCAGATGATGGCGACGATGAAGTAATGATGACTGAGTTTGATGATAATACTGCTGGTAATGATGTTGTTGATGATGGATGAACGGGAGACTGAGGATGACGATGGTTGATGGCCGATGAAAGTGATGGTGGAGGTGGTGACTGCGATGGTAATGATGACGGGGATGGGGAGGAGGGAAAGGGGAAGGGGAGGAGGAGGGGGAGGACGAGGTGGAAGATGAGAAAGTGCAGCCCACCTTCCAGCGCGCGCGCACCTCCGCCTCACGGTGGCTACCACCGCCGCGGAGTGGCTACGGCCACCGCAGCACGGGCCCAGCCGCGCCGCGCCCCCCGCACCGCGCCACGCCGCGGCGACCACGGCACACGGCGCGGATGGGGTAACCGCCGCCGTAGCCGCAGTCGCCGCCAGGCCCCAACCAAGTCTTCACAGATGGCGGCAACCAGCTCTCTGGCGATGTCGCTGATGCCCGCGCAGTCTTCGCCGGGGATTCCGCTCCCCTGCGCTGTCCCAAATGTTTGGCGCACCGCGCGTCGAGCTCGCCGCGAAAATGGCGTTGTCCTGTGTGGGGCTGCGGCCCCATGGCGAAGGCGCGGGCGCGCGCAAATGGCGGGGCGCGGGAGCCGGCGCGACGCGCGCTCGCGGCGGCCTGCTGCGCCGACCGCAGTGGGCAGCTCGGGGCGCGAAGCGGGCGACGCCCCCTCAGGGGGGCCGATTCGGCGTTGACTTCGCGGCCGAGCCAGATCGCCGAAAGCGCCGAGCAAGGTGCGCGCCTGCATCGCGAGATCCACGGCACGTTGCGCGTCGGCATGGGCCCCCTTCTGCTCGTCGGCGCCTTCGCATGCCCCGCGGACAGAAAGGCGCAGCGGCCGTCGTTGCCGACGGGGCTGCCGAGGTCAGCCTTCCACGACGCCATGCGCGCGCAGCTGGCTGGCCTCAACCGCCCGCTGCACTAGTGAACTCCGGGCCCACGTAGCGCGCCGCGCCCGCTGCGTCCTGCAACGCAGCCGCGGCCGCAACGGGAAGCGCGCGCGACGGGGGGCCGGGGGGGCGAGGGTGCCTCGGTGAACGCGTCGAGCTTCCGCGACAGGCCCCCGTTGCAGCCGCGCTCTGTCGCGAAAACCGTTTGGCGCGGCGGCGATCGGCGCTGGGCGATTGCCCTGCAACCGCGGCTGCAACCGCCTCGTTGAACGAAAACTTTTCGCATTGGCGCCGTTCGCGATGAGCTCGCTCACCTGGTCTTGCGCGCGTGGCGCGCAAGGGATCTGTCTTCTCTTCCTTCGCCTCTGCGTTCGACGCCCTTTGGAGCCGCTAGCCGCGCGGCGCTGCTGCGCGCGGTTAAGGGGGGCCGGGGGATACCGGCTCGGCTGGGATGGTTTGAATTCATATTTCGGATGGGCGTTAGGGCAGAATGAAATGTAAATTGCAATGGGATGGTCCCCGGCCGGTGGGGGTGTAGAGTTGATTCTTTGTTTAGAAAGGATGTTCTACGCGGTGCAACCTACGCAATTGAGTCTACGCGGTGACATTTACGTGGTGCAAACTACGTGGTGCAATTCACCTGCCGAGCTCGAAGTTATCAACTCCACTGTTGGCGCAATCGTCCCACCCACCCACCCGCAACTTGGTTTGCTAAACCCATGAGGGGGACGATTGCGATGAGTGCTGGGTGTTGGCTGGTGCATCTCTGCGACCGCGATAGCCCGCGCATCGCGCATGCTCGCGAACGCGGTGGCGCTGACCGCTCGGCACATCCCAGCGGGCACTTCAATGCGAGTCGGCGACTTGGAGGGCGCGGTATCAGGGCAACGTTGACAACGGTAGACACGATGATGATCGTAGCGATGCTGGCGACGATGCTGACAGCGACGACGGGGCAGCCAGTGACGGCGCCGATTCGGATCACGCCGACGACGATGACGGCGTCTTCGCGTCGGCGATGACGGTTCTGGAAGGAATTCAACATATGCGCGCGGGGCAAACGCTCGAGAGTGGCCCGCATGGTATTATTTTACACGGGTCGTGCCACCCCAGCACGCGCGCAAGGGCGTTCGAACGATTTCGAAATGCGCGCGCGAAGCCCGTTTGGTAGCCTGTTATGAACATGTTGAAAAACCGATGGTTCTCCAAAGAGTTCACAAGTGCGCGCACGCAAGCTTTTGTTGAAAAATCGTGTTGCGAGACCCTGTGCTTTTGAATGTTGTTTGAACACTCGATTTCAAATTTCTTCCGACACTCAAGGTTTTCGAAGGATTCCGGCATGCGCGGGCGACGACGCGCGCGTCTGCACTTCGTCATACTTGTTGCAAAAGATTCTCGCGAAGGCACGCGCGCAGGGGCGTTCGAACGATTTCGAAATGCGCGCGCGAATCCCGTTTGGTAGCATGATATGAACATGTTGAAAAACCGATGGTTCTCTAAAGACTTTTCAAGTGCGCGCGCACGCTTTTGTTGAAAATTCGTGTTGCGAGACCCTGTGGTTTGTATGTTGTTTGAACACTCGATTTCAAATTTCTTCCGACACTCAAGGTTTTTTTCGAAGGATTCTGGCATGCGCGGGCGACGACGCGCGCGTCTGCACTTCGTCATATTTGTTGCAAAGGATTCTCGCGAAGGCACGCGCGCAGGGGCGTTCGAACGATTTCGGAATGCGCGCGCGAAACCCGTTTGGTAGCACTTGCTGGACATATTTACCGAACCGATGGCTTTCTTAAGATTTCGCAAGAGCGCGCGCGTAAGCTTTTTCAGAAAAACTGTGTTGCGAAACCTTGTGGAGGGGAACTCGATTTTGAAATCTTTCCGAAACCGAAGGTTTTTGAATGAGTTCGGCATGCGCGCGCGACGACGCGCGCGTGCGCACTTCGTCCTTTTTTTGCTCGGGAACTTTGAAACCTCATGATTTTTGATAATCGAGTGCGCGCGCAAAGTATTTGTTGCAGAGGATGGCGGTGGGGGGTGATACTGATTCCCCTGGGATAATGTAAATGCATATTCCGGATGGACGATGGGCCAGAAGCATTAGCAAATTGGAATACGCAAAGGTGGATCGTTAAGTCCAGGGGGGGTGAGGGTGGTATAATTCATTGTTTAGAAAGGAGAACTGCTGTTAGCAAGCGAGTTGTCACATCCCATGCTCTTGCAAACATGCCACCCACCCGCCCGCAACTTGGTTTGTAAATGGCGTGGCGATTGCGCTGGTTCATCTCTGTTGCCGCGCCAACCCAAGCACGCGCGCGCAGCGGCCAGCAAGTTTGGCGCAACCGACGCGGCCGCGGTGGCACTGACCGCTGGGCTCATTCCAGCTGACATTTCACTGCGAGTCGGCGACTTGGGCGGACGCGGTATCATGGCAGCGTCGACAACGGTAGACACGATGATGATCGTAGTGATGCTGGTGACAATGTTGACAACGACGACGGACCGGCCAGTGCGGGCGCCGATGCTGATCACGCCCGCGATGGTGACGGCGTCCTCGCGTCGGTGATGGACGTTGTGGAATGGATTCGACATGCGACCGCGGCCGGCGCGCGAGACTGGCCCGCATGGTATTAGTTGACGCGGATCGTGCCCCCCCCAGCACGCGCGCAACGGCGTGCGACTGATGTCGGCATGCGGCGCCCAGAGGCCCGTTTGGCAGAATCCCATGCAAATGTTGAGAAACCGATGGTTGCCCTCAGAGTTCGCAAGAGCGCGCGCGCAAGCGTTTGCTGAAAACTGATGCTGCGAAACCATGTGCTTATATGTTGTGTTCGACACTCAGTTGTGACATCGCTACGAAACGTAAGGTTTGTTGTGCTGATTTCGGCATGCGCGCTCGACGACGCGCGCGCGTGCACTTCGTCACTTTTTGTGCAAAAGAATTGCGACGGCAGGCGCTCAAGGGCGTTCGAAAGATTTCGACATGCGTGCGCGCGAAGCCCGTCTGGTACGATTTCCTGGAAAGGTTGAGCAACTAATGGTTGTCTTAAG